TAGCGTCTTCTCTCAGCTCTTTACAGGGTAAACAGGAACTTCTGAATAATTTAGAAGTGTAATAGACAAGGATTTTTCTGCTTTGAATATAAGCATGTCAACCACTGGGAACAATCCCCACTACCAAGATAGTCAGGGCAGTGGCTATCTTAAAAATTCCAAGTCACTCCTTCCCTGAGCAGTTGCAAAGAAACTGTGGGTAGGGTTTTTCCTCCCTTCACCATGCAGCACAAGCCAGGAGACTGCAGCACAGCTGGAGTGTGAGCAGTGTGATGTGTCTGTGCTCGAGGAGAGCCTCACCCAGCTCAGCCCTCCCCAGGTACCTGCAGGCAGGAGTTACCCAGGAGAGCTGGCACTCGGGCACAGGAAAGGTCATGAACTGGAGATTAGACAGCAACAGAAATCAGATTTTCCCAAGCCAGTGACAAAGCCCTGAACACAGTTCTGGCTCCTGTTAAACTAGCAACCTTTCCCAAATTTATATTAATTTGGCATAATATATTGACCTGGATTTAATATAAGCAAATTCTGTACAATTGGTAACATTTTCATGCTGGGTGTCAAACCTAACACAAGGAGATGAGATATGAACCGAAGTGTGCATAACAGAAAATGTATTTATTTTAAGTGGAAACTGAATTTAGAGTTGTGATCCTGCCCCTCAGTGTGGGCTGTGCAAGCTGATGAGCCAGGGCAGGAGAAGGGGCTGAGCACAGGTATTGAGTCCATTTCCCCATGCAGAGGGATTTGAATGAATATTTCATCAGTTCAGAAAGGTCGTGACAAATACGGATGTTTAAAAATACCAGTTATTGTAAAAGAGGTCAAGAGATGGATTTGGTCAGAAAAGGAATAAATTATCCAACTAATGCTGCCAGTGATGCTGCCTATTTCAGATTTTTATGTGCTCAAGAGAAATATTGTGCGGCAGACAAGTAATTTTAACTCTGGAGCAGGATCTGAATAGTGGGGTAGGATTGCTGCAGCAACACTTCCCTGGTGAAATGTCTGCACCCTTGCACCTTGCCTGAGGTCGAATATCCCTGGTAGAATCAGCCTTCTTGCCTTACTGGTGTGATTTATGAGACACAAATTCATCCCAGGCAATCCATAAACATGAGTGTGAACATCACTGAGGAACAAAGTTACAGTTGTACGACCACAA